TTGAGACAGTCTCATTCTGTCACCCAGGCTGGAGTGCAGTGGCATAATCTCAGCTCAATGTAACCTCCGCCTCCCAGGTTCAAATGATTCTCCTGCCTCGGTCTCCTGATTAGCTGGGAGTATAGGCGCATGTTACCACATCTGGCTAATTTTTGTATTTTTAGTAGAGACAGAGTTTCACCATGTGGGCCAGGTAGTCTCAAACTCCTGACCTCAGGTGATCCAACCACCTTGGCCTCCCAAAGTGCTGGGACTAGGTGTGAGCTACTGTGCCTGGCCAACAGTGACTTTTTAAAATATAAAATCGTCTGGCTCATCTGTAATCCCAGCATATTTTAGGGGGAGGCAGGAGGATTGCTTGAGCTTAGGATTTTGCAGCAAGCTTTGATCATGCCACTGTACTGCTGCCTGAGCAACAAAGCAAGACTCCATCTCAAATTAATAAGTAAACAAAAAGTCCATACCAGTACATACCTGATTTTGGTAAGCTACTGGAGCATACTGCTTATAAATTGGAGCTAATCGTGTAGCCAAACTCTGTAAGTTGTCTTCAAGGTTTTTTTCCTATAGGAAAACATAATCCATTAGTTATTTTATAATTGCACCTTAGTGTGTTTAAGGTACCATAAATCATGGGTGATGGTGGATAATGTGCAATTCATACTTATCCAGATAAAATAGCTACCATAGAAAATCACATCGCTTCTTTTCTTCATCTATTAGACATTGTTATGCTTTAATGATATATATTGAAATGAAAATTCTGATACAAGTTAATTAGACATTTGAAGTGTTGGAAGTAAATTACAATGCTGTTCATGTTGTGAAAAGTGAGAGCCATATTTTATATTTATTCAATAGGATTGAGCACTTGGAATAAATGAAAACAATGATGTGCTGGCAAGGGGAAATGGCAAAGTAATTCTATTACAATGTAACAAGTTTGTATAATAGAGAGGAGAGAGTGCATACTTAAAGCACCTACTATGTATGAGGTCCTGTCTCAAATATAATCTATATGTCCTTATGAATAGATTAGGACCTTTGGACCATGAGACAGGAAGAGCAAAGTCAGGATGACTGAGAGGTTTAGTAAATGCCTCTAGATCAAAGGTAGTAAGTGGGTAAGTGGTTGTCTACAGTTCTCTTTTCTACACCATAATGACTACAAATTGAGGAAGACTTGGAAGGACTACGAGGATCATTAACACTCAAGAATCTGGATTGCTACTGCCAGAGACATCAGATTTTTTCAAAGGATAACTATCACAAGAGTCTCTTTTAAAAATCCATGATAATAGTATGAGAAATGAAACAGAGAAGGGAGGCTTTGGAAACACAAATGGTTGAATGAACACTGAAAGTGTCTCAGAAATGATTATATTCTCAATCAACTTAGGTATCTGGTCAATGAACAGTCAACTCTTAGGAAGTCAACTGAAAGGGTATAGAGGGCCAGGTGTGGTGGGTCATGCCTGTAATCCCAGCATTTTGGGAGGCCGAGTCGGGCAGATAACTTGAGCTCACGAGTGTGAGACCAGCTTAGGCAACTTGGCGAAATCCCACCTCTATAAGAAATAAAAAAAATTAGCCAGGTGTGATGGAGCATGCCTGTAGTCCCAGCTACTCAGGAGGCTGAGGTGGGAAGGTTGCTTGAACCTGGGAGGCAAAAGTTGCAGTGAACTGAGATCACGCCACTGCACTCCAGCCTGGGTGACAGAGCCAGACCTTGTCTCTTGACTCAAAATAAAAACAAAAATAAAATAAAATAAAAGGTACAGAGAGCATGGACTGAAAAAGGTTGCATGAGGCTTTTGACTCATGTGCTCATGTGAGAGTTGGTGGAAGGAGATGCCATAAACACAGAAAGGAGCCCATTATATGAATAAATTAACCTTTGGCATACAAATAAGTCAAAGCTACCCAATAATGTAGAAACGGCAAGTCAATTATTTAGTGGTTTCTGACATGCCTCAATCGTAGCAGATGTAAAGCATGACTGGTAATTGTTTTGGTGTCCTACTGATTTATATTGACCCTTTCATTATACAAACAAATTTGTAAGATCCATTCATAGATTTTTGTCTGTTAATCAGTCTACTTTTATATGTTACCCGTTGTGGTTTAAAAAAATAGGAAAGTCAGCTGGGTGAGGTGGGTCACGCCTATAATCCCAGCACTTTGGAAGGCTGAGGCAGGCAGACCACTTATGGTCGGGAGTTCGAGACCAACCTGACCAACGTGGAGAAATCTCATCTCTACTAAAAATACAAAATTAGCTGGGCATGATGGTG